AAAGGGCCCAGCCAGCTCCCACATAACCTGTTCTCCGTCTTCCTCCCCGGAGGGGAACCCAGCCCGCCCTGCCGGGCATGCGCAGGAGCCTCGGGCCTTAGTCCCGCGACGGTGGCCCGGACGGAAAAGATACCTCGGCGCCGCGGGCTCCTTCGTTTCTGAGTGACGGGAGTTGGTTTCTGGATGTCCTGGGATGCCCGAAAGGCCCTCACGCCGCACACCCGCGGCCTCTGGGTGAGGAGGAGCCGGGCCGAGCCGGACCTCGCCGAGCCCTCGATCGCTTTGCAGGATGCAGTTTTTGCAGAAGAAATTGTGTCTGCCGGAGAGGGTTGTTAGGGCTGTTGGCCGCGTCCAAAGGGTTTCCGTGGCTGTTTTCCAGTATCAGATGGATTGGCGAGGGCGGGCGCAGGTGTGTGAGACCCGGGGCTTGTACGATTTGGAGGGCTCTTTCAAAGGAGAACAATGCCGCTTGACCTTATTTTTTGCACACTTTACAAAAGCACAAGCCCTTGGGAACGCGTTGTTAACAGAGCCTTGGGAGCAGCCACAGCGTCCTTGAGCCCAGAGTCTCATTAGCTTCAGTGTAGGACTCCTGTACACCAAAATCTACCGGGTTGTGTGTCTACAAATGCCTGCCCCCTTCTTTGTCCATTCTATGCACCAATTTTTATAGATACAGGGGGTGCTTCATAAGTTTTTGTTGCTGTTTTTTAACCTATGTAGCTACAAACAGATGGCGAGCTCCAGGTGAGAGCATTGTTGATCTCCTAGAAAGAGGTAAACACTAAAGTAGACCTCTTCTGAAAATAGACTAATAATCACAGCAACTCCACAGCACACTTAGTTAAAAATCCTTGAATGTCTTTGAATTACACAGCTAAAATAACATGGTAAGTTGGAGACTAGGATTTGAATCTATTTTGAGTTTGGTTTGGTGCTTCATGGTTCCTCTCACATCACTAATGCAAAGTTAGTAGTTCAGTAAGTATGGAACAAGGTACCAGTGTACACAAATGTCCTCCCATAAGACAGACAAATGGCTGCTCCTGTAAAGGAACACTCCAAAGTGTAATGCTCCTCCAAAGTAAGGGTACTTCTTAATTATGAGAGGGAAGAACAGGTCATAGTAAAATTTTGATGAGAATCAACAGCTTCTGGAACATAACATCTGGGTTTGCTTTCACCTCTGAATTCCGAGTCTATAGCACAACTACTGCATCACGGCTGATGTTTTCTCTAGTTTGAACTTGTCTCCTCGAAATTCATGTATGTTTAGTTGTACTGTGAAGGTATGAAAAGGGTGGGAACTGTAATCCAGAGACGGGGCCTTCAGGAGGTGATTAAAATCACATAAGGTCATCAGATAATTGGATCTTGGTGGTTTTATAGGAGACAGATCAGAGCAGACACAAACATAACACGAACCTTATTCTCTGGCCATGTGTTTCCCCTGTACCACCTTGGGACTCTGCAGAGTCCCCACCAGCAAGAAGACCCAATGCAGTTGAATCTCCTCTGGCTTCCAGAACCTCAAATTAAATAAACCTTTTTTTTTTTTTTTTTGCTGCAATCCCTTCTCCATTCTCCTCTAAGGATCTTGGGCATGCACGCACAGGCGCCCGGCGTGAGTTTAAGCCACTAGGTCCAGTACTTGAACCATGATCGACTACATGGGAGTCCAGTGACATAGCCATCACGCTAACTGCTTGTCCCATAAACCTTTATTCTTTATAAATTACCATGGTGGCATTCAGTTGTTAGCAACAGTAAAGCAGACTAAGACAGTGTTCAGTAAAGGTTTATCAAACAACTTTATTTTGCATAGTCCACAGTTGATTTTCTGGACATGCAACTTTATTTGTATTATCAGTTATTTATGATTATGAATTATATATTATTTATGCATTAAGAGACAAGAACTCAGACCACAGAGGCAAACATGAAAAACAGCCTTAGGTAATTTTGCAAAAGCCTATTTTCCACCTAAATGAAATAGCAGATGTCTTGGGGAAGAGAATTCAGTCTTCCCTTCTGGACGCTTTCACCAGCAACCCGCTAGTGAGTGCGGTTAGCAGTCTACACACATAACAACTCCGAGATGCTGTCACTTCCTCAGCATCCTCATAACGAAGTCCACTCCTGTGTGGGTCAACCGCCTGCAAAGAGCACCTGCTTCTGTGGCTAACAGGAGCTGCGTCTGTAGTCACGGTTGTTACCAGGCGTCCTAGATCCTGCCTCGCAGCGGGTCCCAAGCGTCACTGCACCTGCGCACACTCTCCCGCGAGGTCAGGGCCTTCGGTCGCCCCTGCGCCTGCGCGTGGAGCAGGTGGCGGCAACGGCGTCTTCTGGCTCCAGCTTCCGGTTAGGCGGCGGCGCCGGGGGCTTGACGTCACTGGGAGGGGGCGGAGTCCAGGCGCAGGCGACTGAGGCGCGGGGCAAGACTAATGAGTTCAAGCCCCCGATCTAGACTCAGACCCGGCCGAGAGTTGAGGGGCTGGCAGTTTTTGACTCTCAAGAACTAGAACTGTGTTGCTTGCTTCACTTGCGGACGGCAGTCCCTCCAGAAACCGTCCAGACCTCGTGCTCACACGGGACCCTCGGGCTCCCAGAGGTAACGGGTCTGCCCAGGCCAGCTTCCCCCCAGAGCTTGGAGAGGAAGGAGGGAGGTGCTGTCCGAGTGGGAGGCCTGGGGGCTTGGGGGGGGCAGGCTCTGTTTCTCCGCACAGGGTTTGACTTGAACTAACTTGGGATCCCGGAGTCCCCTGGCCTTGTACCGCTCATCTCTAACCGCGGAGTGTCCCCGAGCACTTAACCTGCTGTGCAAGGCCGGTAAACCCGTCACAGGTTGCGTAAAGGGGACTCAAGTTGCGCTAGTCACTTTTTCTCCTTTTTTTCAAATAGCATTTAGTCATCTCCCGTATTCACTGAAGAAAACCTGTTAGTTTTGTTTCGTCACTGCATGGCCGAGGCCGGGTAGTCGTGAGTCATGATTCTGTGCTACGATCTCGTTACTCCCATTCATTCTCCATTCTCCTGGACGCTTTGCCTCTCGCCCTTAAAGAGTGAAGCCATCCCTCACCCCACCCCATCTGCTTAGTATTTTGCAGTATTTGTATTTGAAAGTTGCCTGGATCAGTAAGTATTATAGCACGGAAATTATCAAGGGCTAAGTCCAGGTAATCCGTTGACCACCTTATGTAGATTGTCTGATTTCGTCCTCACCCTAATCCCTACATGGCAGTGTAGCCTTGTGCTGATTTTGTGTGTGTGTTTCTCTTGTGTTTGCTCGAGTGGGGAAATGGGGAGTGAGAAATCTCTTGGTCTCTGCCCTGTAAACTTCTCACACCTGGGCTGCATGGTCTGGACACACAAGGTTAAACAGAGAACATATTTTACTTGAAATCTCTTGAAAGGTTTATTTATTTTAATGCCACATAATTGAAACTATATTAAAGTAAATATTATATAGTTGCAAATAGAACTTGAATGAGTAATTAAAACTTCAAAGAAATTTCATACTTATGGTAACCAGTTTAGGAAATATTCTAGAGCCTAGCCCAGTAAGGTATGAATGATTTCTTCTCTGACTTTGGAAGATACTTTAATGAAAATCTGTGTCTCAGCACATTTTACTTTTGTTTTATTTTTATTAACATTTTATTAAAATTCGTTCCCATCTTGTCCTTTTTTTTTTTATTTGCTATAGGGCAGGTGCCTTCTCTGAAGGAGGAGAGGAAGTGAGAACCTCCCCACCCCCTGAGGGAATGTCCATGCTACAGTCCCTTCTCTGTTCTCCTCTCAGGATTTGGGACACACATACACACATGTGCCTTGTGTATTTCTCAAGCCACTGGAACTGAGACTTGAACTGCATAGTCAGCCATAAGGCAGGATCTAGCTACCTTAACCACCATGTCATTGGCTACCGTCTGTGTTCTTTTTATTTACAGAATACATTTGTAAAGCAGAAACTTACTATATTTGCCCTTAGCACAGTGCCTGGCTCATATGTGGTCACTGAATACCTGGTGAATAGCAGGCATATATTCATGAACAAAAAGAAGATCTAGTGAATTTGATTTTTAAAATGGAAGCCCGTCGGTAGTATGGTTAAGGTCCCTGGATCCCACATGGCCAACTCTGCAGTTCAAGTCCTGAAACCAGCAGCTTGAAAAACATGCTGAGTGTCTGTGTGTGCATGCCCAAAATCCGAAAAGGAGGAAGAGATGGAGGAGAAGGAATTGTGGTGTGACCATTCCCCATGGGGTACTTTCTCTCTCTCTCTCATGCATGTGTCCTCTAGTAAATTAAAAAAGAAAATAACTAACTGTGATAAATAAGATAGGTAAAGTGAAGGCTTTATGGAGAGGATATTTTAAGTTGGGTATTGAATACTGAAAGAATTTGGCATAGCTAGCAGTTAAATAGTAAAAGTAAACAGACATATGCTATGGAGGAAGAGAATAATCTGTTTTGTTGTCAAAGATCCTATCTATGATTAGAATTTCAAGCTTCCCAAGTAGTTCAATTCAGTTAGTGATTTGTTAAAAACACATATTTTAAGAAGTTTGTTTCTGGTGCCATGTGTGGTAGTCTGAAAGAAAGAAGAGACATGTTTTTTGGAAAGCCCTTATCTCAGAAATGAATTGAGCCTGATTTTTTTTTGTCTCTGTTATGAGAAATATTCTTTTGTATTATTTACTAAAAAGCAATACAATAATTTAATGAAAGTTGGAATTTAGGGAGAAAAATAATTAATATGATCTTCAGAATTATATAGGAGATGGGGCTGGTGCTACTTTGATCATAAATACTAATTATGATTGAAGTAAAACATCTACACTTTCATCATTAAGTGTACATGTTGAAAAAATACATTATAATATTAATTTGTTTTCATCTAGTAAACATTAATAGACATGATTTACATGATCTCTGTAAGGTCTTTACATAAAATATTTAGTTGAATTTTATCTTTTACTTAAGTTATTCTCTTTTTGCTTTATTAGTTACACCGGAAGATTCACCACTGCTTCCATGGCTGCCTCTCAAACTTCACAAACTGTTGCATCACATGTTCCTTTTGCAGATTTATGTTCAACTTTAGAACGAATACAAAAGAGTAAAGGACGTGCAGATAAAATTAGACATTTTAGAGAATTTTTAGATTCTTGGAGAAAATTTCACGATGCCCTTCATAAGAACCAGAAAAATGTCACAGACTCTTTTTATCCAGCAATGAGACTTATTCTTCCCCAGTTGGAAAGAGAGAGAATGGCTTATGGAATCAAAGAAACTATGCTTGCTAAACTTTATATTGAATTGCTTAATTTACCTAGAGATGGAAAAGATGCCCTTAAACTTTTAAATTACAGAACTCCTACAGGAACTCGTGGAGATGCTGGGGACTTTGCAATGATTGCATACTTTGTATTGAAGCCAAGATGTTTACAAAAAGGAAGTTTAACCATACAGCAAGTAAATGACCTTTTAGACTCAGTTGCCAGCAACAATTCTGCCAAAAGAAAAGACTTAATTAAAAAGAGCCTTCTGCAACTTATAACTCAGAGTTCAGCACTTGAACAAAAATGGCTTATACGCATGATTGTAAAGGACTTAAAACTTGGTGTTAGTCAGCAAACTATATTTTCTGCTTTTCATAATGATGCTGCTGAGTTGCATAATGTCACCACAGATCTGGAAAAAGTCTGTAGGCAACTGCATGATCCTACTGTAGGACTCAGTGACATTTCTATTACTTTATTTTCTGCCTTTAAGCCAATGCTAGCCGCTATAGCAGATATCGAGCGAATTGAGAAGGACATGAAACACCAGAGTTTCTACATCGAAACCAAGCTGGATGGTGAGCGGATGCAAATGCACAAGGATGGGGATGTTTATCAGTACTTCTCCCGGAATGGATATGACTACACTGATCAGTTTGGTGCTTCTCCACGTGAAGGTTCTCTTACCCCATTCATTCATAATGCATTCAAAACAGATATACAGAACTGTATCCTTGATGGTGAGATGATGGCCTATAACCCTGAGACCCAAACGTTTATGCAAAAAGGGAATAAATTTGACATTAAGAGAATGGTAGAAGATTCTGAACTACAGACTTGTTACTGTGTTTTTGATGTATTGATGGTTAATAATAAAAAGCTAGGACACGAGACCCTAAGAAAGAGGTATGAGATTCTTAGTAGTACTTTTGCACCAATACTGGGTAGAGTGGAAATAGTGCAGAAGACACAAGCTCATACTAAGAATGAAGTAATTGATGCATTGAATGAAGCAATAGATAAAAGAGAAGAGGGAATCATGATAAAACATCCTCTGTCCATTTATAAGCCAGACAAAAGAGGTGAAGGATGGTTAAAAATTAAACCAGAGTATGTCAGTGGCCTAATGGATGAATTGGACATCCTGATTGTTGGAGGCTATTGGGGTAAAGGTTCACGGGGTGGGATGATGTCTCATTTTTTGTGTGCTGTAGCGGAGAATCCCCCTCCTGGTGAAAAGCCTTCTGTGTTTCATACTCTTTGTCGTGTTGGCTCAGGTTACACCATGAAAGAACTGTATGATCTGGGTTTGAAACTGGCCAAACATTGGAAGCCTTTCCATAAGAAATCTCCACCAAGTAGCATTTTATGTGGGACAGAGAAGCCCGAAGTGTATATTGAACCTTGTAATTCCGTCATTGTTCAGATTAAGGCAGCAGAGATTGTCCCCAGCGACATGTATAAAACTGGCTGCACGTTGCGTTTCCCACGTATTGAAAGGATAAGAGATGACAAAGTTTGGCACGAATGCATGACCCTGGGTGACTTGGAACAACTGAGGGGAAAGGCTTCTGGAAAGCTTGCGTCTAAACACTACTTCCTGGGTGGAGATGATGAGCCACGAGAAAAAAAACGGAGAACTGCCCCAAAGACGAGGAAAGTTATTGGAATTATCCAGCACTTAAAAGCACCTAATCTTTCTAACATAAACAAAGTTTCTGACATATTTGAGGATGTAGAGTTTTGCGTTATGAATGGATTAGACAGCCATCCAAAGTCTGACCTAGAGAATAGAATTGCAGAATTTGGTGGATATATAGTTCAAAATCCAGGTCCAGACACATACTGCGTAATTGCAGGGTCTGAGAACGTCAGAGTGAAAAACATCATTTCTTCAAATAAACATGATGTCGTCAAGCCTGAGTGGCTTTTACAGTGTTTTGAGACCAAAAGCTGTGTGCCATGGCAGCCCCGTTTTATGATTCATATGTGCCCATCAACCAAACAGCATTTTGCCCATCAGTATGATTGCTATGGTGATAGCTACTTTGTTGATACAGATTTGAACCAACTGAAGGAAGTGTTCTCAGGAATTAAACATTCTGAAGAACAGACTCCTGAAAACATGGCTTCTGTGATTGCCGATTTAGAGTATCGTTATGTCTGGGACCACTCTCCACTCAGTATGTTTCGACACCACACCATTTATGTGGATTTGTATACTGTTATTAATGACTTGAGTACCAAAATCAAGGGGACAAGATTAATCATTAAAGCTTTGGAGCTTCGATTTCATGGAGCAAAAATAGTTCCTTGCTTAGCTGAGGGAGTATCTCATGTAATTATTGGGGCAGATCATACTCGTGTTGCAGACTTTAAAGCTTTTAGAAGAACTCTTAAGAGAAAGTTTAAAATTTTACAAGAAGATTGGGTAACTGATTCAATAGACAAGTGTGAATTACAGGAGGAAAACCAGTATTTGATTTAAAGCTAGCGCTCATACTAGCCTCTGATCCAGCAGACTTATTGCTCCAAGTGGTAATAATATTAAGCTATATTTTAATTTGGTGTCTTAAAAGCGGTGCTGTAAAATAGTTACTAAATATAGGAAAAAGATAGTTTTAACTTTAAAGATCAAAAAGACACTAAATGGCCCAAAACCAAGCCAGAAAGTAATTCTCTTGGTGGCATATTATTTGTTGATTTTTAAAACAAAGATGAAATAATTAGGCAGTTTTTTAAAAAGGTGTTTGCTTAATATTCATCTAGAAATTAGAATTCTGACTCAGATATTAGTAAAACACATTTGGAAACTTTTAGAATTATAAAATTGTTGATCTAAACAGGATTTTCTACCATCAAGATTTTAATAGTTTTTATCGGAAGCATTGACGACAAAGGGCAGAATTGTTACAGCTGGACTTGTAAAATAAGTTTTTTACTTGAAGACTGAAATGCTTTTATTTATGAAATGTTGTAAACAAATTTATTTTTTAAAGTTCATGTCAGATATTAATAAAATCTCTCCAGTGATTGTTTTACCCAAATTAGGGGAAGCTGAGTGTAAACTTAAAATTAAATTGGTTCGATTTTAAAAAACCCTTACAATTGAAAAAGTAGACCACATTAATGTTTTCTAAAGTAGAATGTGTTTTCAAGAAAGTGCTTTAATGTAAATGTATACTCTGGTACAAATAGTATTCTCAACAAAATAATTCTTTATATAGAACTCACTGAGTAGGTGTTGAAATGTGATTTGTCTTGTCTGACTTTTCAGTAGAGAGATGTAAATTGTTTTGACTTTTTAAAGTGGTTCTTACAATTAAGTTGTTTAAAGTCAATGTGCATCCTATGTATTATGTCTGATTTATATGCCAAGTTTTGAAATACGACCTATATATTTGAAAAACATGCTTTTATGGTCATATTGAAATACATGTGGTACCTTTGATATTGTGTGCAGATTATTGGAAAGTGATTAGAAATTTTATCTGAGTAGTAGGACACATGTATATATTTTTGTCATATGTTTTTATTTAAATAAACTATTTAATATACTATCATAATAATCTCATGTTCTATTACATTATTTTAAAACAATTCATAATAGTTATTTCAGTTGGACAAATTTTATGGTGTCAATTTTTTAAAATTAATTAATTTATTCTATAAGAAAAACAGGCAGCCAACAGTGTCCGTGCTATTTCCACCCCTAATTAGAACTGGCCCCAATCACAGATAGGTGCATGCCTCGCGATGCTCAGGGAGGTCCCAGGACATAGACCAGTACCATTTCCACATGTGTCCAGTGACATTACCGTTGTGTTGTCACCTGACCAATAGAATTTTTGATTGGTTTGAACCAGGTTTCTTTTTAAAGACTATATTGGGTTGTCGGCAAAGTCATGGCTTATTTTTTCTATGTTTTTCTATGCAAAAATGCATCATGACTTTTCGACAATCCAATATTTTACATTACTGAGTGAGTTTTATTAAAAAATTGTAACTTTTTTATGTTATCTTTTATGTTATTTGTCACATTACTGAGTGAGCTTTATTAAAAAATTTTAACTTTTTCTATGTTTTTATTAAAAAAAATTTAACTGTGTTTCTATGTCTATTGAGGAAAATTACAAAATACAGTTAAGTGTAGTAGGGGAAAATGACCATAATTTTATCACCAAATAACATTTACTATTTTAGGTTATTGATGATATGGAAAATGCCAGTTAAATATTTAGTATAAGAAATAAGTGTAAAGCAAACTATAATGTTTTATTTAGTCAGCTTTTCTCTCTTAATAGATTGTGAGAATATTTTCATGCCACTAAAATACACCCAGATCATTTTAATTGCTGCACAATATTCCATTATTGAATGTAGTATACCAGCTAGTGCATTGTTCAAATTTTACACTGTTCCACCAGGCCATTCTCATTTTTTCTCTTTTTCCTCAAAGCACTGTAGTAAACCTTCCATTTGGTGTGCATACACTGCTCCAGTCTTCTTGGGTACATTCTTGGGCATGAAAGTGCTGGCTTAAAGCTATGTAGTGCAGTGAAAATACTGGCATAAATGCTTACTTAGATTCTCCTCCTCTTCATCTTTGTTAAGTGCTGGAGAGTTTGTTTACTCAGTTTTGTAGCTCTTTCTTACTTTTATTTCATTCTCCAGATAGTATCATTCTGTACCATAACTAAACATAGATAACACCCAGATATCTTTAACTCTGATATCTTTGATCTGCAGTTCATGTATCTATCCACATAAAGTCTCTACATGAAATCTACTAAGCCTCTCAAACTTACTATGGTTATAACTGTTCTTTTAAAAAGTTTTATCATGGAAAAATGAAAACATGCAAAAGAAACTGTTAGTATAATGAACCTACATTATTTTGAAGCAAATCTACATGACATAGTTTCATCTAAATATTCCATAGTAAAATTCTTGCTTATTCAAGACAGACATAGACTCACTTCCAGTACTCCATCTTCCCTAAGCATCTATCCACTCAGTTGCTCAAGCTAGAAACCAGAGAGTGGTACTTGATCTCATCTGTCCTATTTATTGCTCATACTGAACACATCTTGGATCATGGTAACTCAGAACTTATATCTGATCCAGGATGATTTTCAGACTGAGCCTTAGGCCTGACTTTCTCTTGCCCACCTCTTTTTGTTTTGAGAACTTTTTTATAGGGTACGTGCTCTCACTGGAGAGACAGATGAGAAAGCAAGAAATCACCCCCTGGGGGAAATGGCCATGCCATAATCCCTTCTCCATTCCTCTTTTGGGATCTTGCACACACAAACACACACGCCTGGCATGAGTTTTGGCCACACCACAATCCCCTCTCCATTCCCCTCCTGGGATCTTGCACACACATGCACACACACCCAGCATGAGTTTTAAGCCACCGAGTCTGGGACTTGAACTGCGGTCAGAGTCTAGTGATGTAACCTTTATACAATCTGCTTGTCCCTCTTGCGCTTTCTAACAAGTGGTTACTAACTGAGGCCAAACCTTGTTTTTCCCCCATAAATGTGTCTTCAATATTGGAATAATCACCTCCAATGCTGGATGACTAAATGCCCAACTGTAAGATAAGTCTTCTTATCACTGTGAACCATATTTTCCTTGTTTTAAAATTCCTTCCGAAGGGACCTGGGAAGAGCCTAGCCTACGTGTCATCCATCTTACTGAATCGATCACTTCACCTCAGTGATTATGGGCTACTCATATCATAACTGGCATAATAGCACATGATGACTCATGAACTTCCTTATCTATGTTTGGGTTGAAGTTCAGTCTTTCTGCTGACTCCCAGGTTTTCTAAAAAGCCTTGCTGACTTCCAAATTTTCTATAATACATAAGAACATCTACAAATCTTTCTATGACCTTTAAGTCACCACTTTAAGGTATCCCACCTTCTCAGCCAAACCAATGGATAAATTCCACTTATTTATACCTTTGTGTGTAGTGTCTCTTCCTGAAATGTATAAAAGATCTGTAACTTTGCCATGTGGGAAGAATTTTCTCAAGGTTTCTTGAGGGAATGTTTACCTGGGGCATAGTAATTCATACTGGTTTAGAAAAACCTCCTTCAGTGTTTTATAGGTTTGGTATTTCTGTTGACATGATTCTATTAAGGGAGTACAGACATACAGCTTTCGCCAAGAAGAAAAGATAATTATCTTTTGAACTGATGTATTTGTAGCCATCTAGTAAACTAGATTAATCCAGTAAATCCTGATAATCCTCAAGTGACAGTTGTCATGGGTAGGCCATCTATGAACTAATAGATACTTCCTTTGATATTTAAAATATTTGGGGACATAGGAAAAACATGGAAGTCTTTCCAAACCATTTCTTATATTTTATAAACTCAATACACCTAACAAAACAGTATAGAACCTAGAGCTACTAAAACTTTCCTGTGTTTTAACATAAAGTGGTGCCAGTTTGGAAAGCTGGTCATTTTACAAGTCACGTACTTATTCTGTGACTCAGGATCTGCACAAGAGAAGGAGAGCACTGCAAAATGATTTGTACAATAGTATTTCAAGAAGCGTTGTTCGTAATAGTCCTGAACTAGATGCACCCATTTATCTACCAACAGGAGAATGGAAAAGGAAGTTACAGCATATCCCTGCAATAGAACTCTACTGAACAACAAAGAGACGCACAATTATGTGTACAGTTTCCCAGGTGTTTGGGTTTTTTTTGCCAGAGGATGTGTGTGTTCACTAGAGAGACCGAGAGAAGAGGAAAAGGGAGAGAGCACCCCCCCAGTGTAATGTGATCATGCCGCCATCTCTTCTTCATTTCTCCACCCTGTGAGGATTTGGGGCATGCATAAGCATATGCCTACTGTGTTTTGTTTTTCTAGCAACAAGTCGAGGATTTGAACTGCAGTCAGCCATGTGGGATCCAGCTGCCTTAACTACTAGGCTATGGAGCCAGCTTGGATTCCCACTATTGAGTGACAAGCCAGATGCCAATGAGCATACCTATTGTATAATATGTGTTTTAATGTCATTTCAGGAATAGAGCTAGTCTATGGCAACAGAAATCAAAGCAGATGTGCCGCTGAGAAGGGGGCTAATGAAAGCGACAAAGGGAGCTGCCTTGCATGAGAGAAGTCTGTTTGATCCGTATATTGGTTAAGAAATGGAGAAAGGACTCCTAAAGGAGTTTCCCCTTCAATTGAGGAACAAAAGGATATTCCCCAAACTGAAAATTAATAAGGACTGAATTAAAGGTAGTGTCTTTCTAAGTGCTTGGAATTTAAATTTTAATGGCAGAAGATTCCAGACTTTGATTATAGTAATTAAGTAATATTAGCCATGAGTAGGGTCATAAGATTCCCAACATTCCCACTTGAAGTAAAAGTAATGTTTTAACTTAAATTCTTGAAATGTTTTGCGGCATGTAAACTGCTGGCTATAAGCACATAAACTCCAGGCTGAAGGGCGCCAGAGACCTGACGATTGTCCCCTCTCGGAATAGAAGTGATTTACTTTAGGCCCCACCAGTAGCCAGCCGATAGATAATCATGCCCGTTTAAACCAATTTTTGAGCCAATAATGTACCTGGGACTCCTACCCTTATTTTTGCCCTTTAAACGTGTGCAGGAATTCCTTGGAAAGACCAGCCTTTCTAGCATCAGCCGGCTTCCTGGCCCCTGTCTTTGCACAGCAGTAACTGCGCTTCCCTTTATCATCGCACTCCATGCGTAGTCTATGGTGCACAGGCCAGCTAACCTGGTTGGACTTTGCTAAAAGTTACCCAGATGTACACATTGGTCAAAGCTCTCGTGATTTGCTCATTTTACTCTAAGTGTATTTCAAGAAATTGAATGAACATTGAAAACAACTGCTAATTACACAGTTACATACAGAAGAAACATTCCAATAATATGTTTTAAAATGAATGTTGGAAAGAGAAAAGCAATACAATATTTTCAAATAATGTTAAATTTTAAGGAAAATGAGGGTGATCCAATATTTAAAAATACGTTATAGCAAGTAGCTGTGCCAGTAGATTACAGGTGACGATAAACAACTGGTGTATGAAATGCAACAGCATTCTCCCCTAAAGATACCATAATAGCACTAGGTAAAATAAAAACTGGAGACTTATTAAATATAAAAATTCTTCAAAAATAACATCAATAGCTTTTTGAGTTTCAGGATGACACAGCAGTGGCAATACAGATTTTTAATTCCTACCAAAAAAAAAAAATTCAAACAACATTATGTTTCACCTAAATGAACTAGAAAAAATGAGAACAAAACGTACTCAAAATTAGTAGAAGAAAAAAATAACAATCAGAGCATAAATACACAAAATAGGAACTAAATATATTACATAACAAAAGTTGGTTTTTGAAAAGATAAAATTGGCAAGAAATTAACTAGACAGAAAAAAGATCCAAATAAATAAAATCAGAAATGAAAAAGACATTATAACATATCACAGAAATACAAAAGATCATTACAAAATATTATAATAATTATATGCTATTACATGGGAAAACCTAGAGGAAATGGATAAATTCTT